TTTTTTTTTTTTTTATATGTATAAAATCGTTGTTCACGCATTTAAGAATTTTCAAAATATGTGGACAACATTCATTCTGTTACTTACATCGACAAAAGTAATTAAATCCATTGCCTATCGTCAATTAACAATCAACAATCATTTTTACGAACAATATGTTCGAACGTTATATATATGATTCACAAGAACATTAATAAAAGACTTTAATTTTATTTTTATTATATGTTTAATTATTATATTAAAAACTTGTATATAATTTATATAAATATGAATATTTAAAAATAAATTATTCTATATCTGTACTACATTATTTCTAGTATTTTTATATGTACTGTTTTACACTTTCTCAAATACATTTAGAACTCATTTGTATGTGTATTTTCATTTATTTACAAGCCTGATAATTCTTTGGATAATTTCTTTCACTCTTCTTTTTATGCCAATCCTCATCGATTACCTCCACACTAAGTACCAAGAAAATCAGTATTTCTTTCTTTCCAGGTTACATGTTAATTAACTCTTTTTATGTTGCACAAGGGGAATGTTAATTATAAACAATACATCGTGCCTAATAATTCATGTAAAACTTTAAAAAAATAATTTTCGTTTTTAAAGGCTCTGAAAAACATTAATTCTATTTGTCATAAAAACTTTATTTCTATTCAATATAAAAATTTTATTTTAAATAAACTGTAATGTCTTAATCGTATGTTTATACATTATTACAATAAGAATTAATCTCATAAATAAAATGTCTAAATAGTTTATTTTTCTTTGTTTTATCCAAATTTAAAAACTTATTTCTCTTAAAAATTTCAAAAGCAATATACTAAAGCATAAAATATTTATCAGGAAAAAAGTCATAGCAAATACAACTAATGCAAATATAGAGTGCAATAAATCAATGAAGATTTAAGACGTTAAGACATAATTACTGCTATATAATATAATATCGCCTTTCACTGTAGCGTATTTTCTTATATTAAACAAATTGCTTTTTAATAGTTGATGGTCACACATAATGTTGCAATTAAGAAGATATACCATGTGAATATATTGGATATTTTAAAAGTACACGGTACTTACTATTAGCTTGAAAAATCATTTGCTTATAATTTCTTATCCTCTTTTAATGCCCGTCAATAAAATTCATCACCATTTTAGGAAATTGTGCGTACTATCGTTATTTTCTTAATAACCATGCGGCTACTAACATATGGCAAATTTGCAAATTTTTAACCTTTTTATGAGCTTTTACTTTCAATATAGTTCTCATTCTATATAAATAATAATATATAATATATAAGTAATAATAATAAATAATAAATATAAATAATTTTTATAAATTTATTTTTTATAAAATCACATAAAATATATATTGTACTTTTATTTTTGTGTGTGTGTGTGTCTGTGTTTTTGTGTGTATTTCAAATTGTGATCATATCTCATGTTAAAAACAAAAGTGTTATAATGATAAAAGCTCTTCAAGGTAAAGTGTATATTAAATAAGTTTAGTGCAATTATTAAAAAAAAAAAAAAAAAAAAAAAAAAAAAAAAAAAAAAAAAAAAAAAAAAAAAAAAAAAAAAAAAAAAAATGAAACGTGAAAAACAAAAAAATGTTTTTAAATATAGTTCTATAGTTTTTAAAATATTTATTTTTACCAAACATAAAATAGATTAATTTTTCTAACCATCTTATGGAATTCATTTTTAACATTTTCATTTTTAAGTTATTGCAACGAAACTTTATTCTGCAAAGTGTATATATATATATATATATATATATATATATATAATGATGGTAAACTTAGGTTGATTTACATAATGGAGGTGAGAGTAAGGAAAATTTACGCTAGAAAAAAAAATCATCCCTATATTATTAATAGCTGCATTTTTGTAAGATTATGTAAAAGTCAATTCTTAATAGTTCTAATTCGTTCATCAATAGTAAATAATTATAACACGCGACAGCACATTTAGAATATATAATCATGTTGCTCAACTTTGTGCATTTTAACAATTTTAATTTAAATTACACATTCCAATATCCACGCGCGAGCAATAATTTTTTCTTAAACAGCATTTTATTTTATATAAATTTCCTAGCATTGATTTAAAGGCCTCTCATTGGCTTTTCCTATCTCCACTCCTGGCACCGCATCGCTAGTTAATAGTTAAATATAGTTAAATAATGCTTTTCAAGTCTACAAGTAGTAAGAAATAAAGGATGAACAAAGTTCATTTCTTAAGTAGCCATAATGCTCGGGATTTCACGTATGCGAATCGGGCAGCATTTGCTCTTTTTACTCGTCCATTCGATCGAGTGAATTCGCTGACTCGCGCCTCGTCATTTTTCTCTTTTGTCTCTTTCTCACTGGCTTTCCATACGCACGCTCATTTACATGATAAAAGCCGAGTTGTTGATTTTCCATAAGTGCCGACGTTAGGCCGTACTTTCTCGCGTCGTTAATGTTGAATATCGAGGAGCGATGATTCGTACATTAACGATCTTCTGTATCATTATTTTGTAATTTAGTTAACTATTTGTTTTTTGTTTTTGCGCGCACTGCGTGTATGCGTGCATGTGCGTGTGTCTGTGTGTGTGTGTGTCTGTGTGCGTGCGTGTGTGTGTGTGTGTGTGTGTTGTGTGTGTGTTTTTTTTTATTTTATCCACATGAATCGATTATGTTAATGCTGTTTGTTTAAAATTTTTTATATAAATACGTCACTGCATACAAATACATTGGACTCTAAGGCGAAGATCTAAATGATTAACTGATCAGTCAACGGCTGAACAAAGTATTACAACATTCTATTTAACGTGTAAGGAAAATCATGAATAAAAAGAAAAACAAAAAAGAAAAACAAAAAATAAAAAAAAAAAAAAAAAAAAAAAAAAAAAAAAAAAAAAAAAAAAAAAAAAAAAAAAAAAAAGAAAAGAAGAAGAAGAAAAAATCAAATATATAAATAGAAGGAAATGTTAATATTGATAGTCGATATGTTTTATTTGATATATCGCAATATTATTCTATTCCTATATAAATTCTTAATAGATAGTACGTAAAATTCTAATAATTATGGTAATAAGAAAATGTATTTGTTGATGAATGCGCCCCCGTACTTTTCACGAGAAATATCCTCGTTAATGTGAAAATTCAAGAATAGAGGGAGCTCGTTTTTTTAACATATTAAGCAGTAATTATTTTAGCATAGCAATATAAAGATATTAATTATTCGGAAGAATGTCGTATTTACGGGTCATGTCGTATAAAAATTCCGTAAATATGGCTTTAGTCGAGGCTTTTCAAGCGAATTGTAGGCTGAGAGGCCAGATTGTTGCATCAATATTTTAAAATGACGTTATCGACGTTATGCATAAAAATGGGAGGGCAATTTGTTCATCGATCGGATCTTCGAAATTCCAAAAGCATTCTCACCCATCGTCAAATCCTCAATGCTTTTTTTCGATTATTCACAATGCATTTCGTCCCCTCCGAATCGCTTACAGCACATGGGAAAGCGCAAGGTCGGGGATCCCGCGAAATTTAAATTCGCGAAAATCCAAGCGCGCCGAGGTAGATTTCGACGGAACGACGTCAGTCGAGGACTTCCGGATAAAAACATGCGACGCTCGGTCCTTCGCGTCGTTCCGCCGATTCAGACTGACAGTCGCATTTTTATGTTTCGTCTCGAACCTCGAGGACGCACGATTTTGCTCCGATTTCCCACTGCGATTGCCACACACTTGCGCGCATCTATACTGTGTGACTTTTCGTTTTTTTGTTCGACTATCTTCCTTGGAGGAAGACAATAATTTTTCGAAGATATTCGCTGTTTGCGCTTAAGGCGATTATAGAAGAAAGGACATGGAGATGAATATCAGGAGAGTCATGTTTTCCATACCGAAGCGGCGATTCAGTGAGTTGGGCTATTCTCCTTTCGTCATATATTATTATATTTTTTGTTGCAAAACCAAATTATTTAACATAATGTAAACATCGCTCGTAATAATAATAATGCTTTTAATTTAAATGCTTTGCTTGAAAGTTAAGCAACGCTAAAGTAACAATAAAGTAAAGTAATCAAAATTTTGATAAAGTCCAAATTATCAGTCATTATTTAGTAAATTGGGGGGGGGGGACAATTTAACGAGAGCCTGGCACAACAAATTGTTTATATTTATTTGACTAAAAGTAATATTTAGCTTATATTTTGTATATTTTTTGGCTAAGATTGATTTTTGTTTTACATGGGGAGATGACAAAATATATTAAATCGTTAATTATTTTAGTTTTGTCATTACGATAGATATTCGAATAAGCCGTATCATATCGAGTAATTTATAATAAAATATACAATTAATTAGGAAATGTTAAATTTTTTACAATATACTTTATGAATATTTTTATCGCTTATATCTTTTACGTATAATCATCGTATAAATGATAAAGTAATTAAATATAATTTACCGTTACTAATTATAATTAGTAAATTACATATAATATACATAATAGATAATACACTACGTTGGTTTTCGTTACGATTATCGATAAATTTTATGTAATTTTGGTTGCCATTATTCTCGAGCAGTATATATATATATATATATATATATATATATTTTTTATAATTAAATACTTTTGTAAAAACATAATTGCCTGCACATACGTTACCCACCTAATATACTCCCCCATGGAATTATTTGAAGTTTATTGACACACCTGAAGTCCTAAATGCTTACCGCAAACAATATTGTCTCTGATATTTTTAGACGACCTCGCGATAAAGTAGCTAATAATCATCAATTGTCTTAAATAATATTCCATGAAATTCGATATAATAATATCTTATGAAATTTGATGAAATTCAATAATATATTATAAATCAAAACAATAATATCCTGTGAAATTCGACACTCTGGATGTCGCAATAATTCAAATTGGAAATAGAATTCTTACAAGGGACAGTGAAGTAACATTTTCTTTCTCCTCCCATACTAGGTAAATCACCATTCTTTCCGAGCCTCGATGAGCCCGGGAGCATTCACCTGGAGGATCCAAATTCGGCGGGCCAGCTGGACGGTGTTGGGGTTAACGTCGGCGTCGGGGTTGGCGGCGGGGTAATGGCTGCGCCTCAGAATGCGCCCCTATCGTCCCCAAGTCGCAGCAGTCCTCATAGCCAAGGCAGCGAGACCAGCGAACGATTTTCCAGGAAGGTCTTCGTCGGCGGCTTACCGCCTGATATCGACGAAGGTTTGTATCCTTATCGCGCCCCACGTAACTGTTGCTCTAATACTGAATTGACAAAAGGAATGTAATAATGGCCGGATTAATAATATAAGATTAACAATCTTATATATTTATTTGCATATGTAATTATTTCAACAGCGTTCCCATGACTTTTAATGACCTTACATAACGTCTTCCTTGGAATTATAATTATAAAATTTCTAAAACTCTTGTTAGTTGACCGAGTATTTGCACATATTGCCCATTGAATTCGCATAATTCCAGTTAAGTTTTTATAAAAATTTTTATAATTTATAATAAAATGTCATTCTTTTAAAACTTATTTTTATCTTCTCTCATAACTTGTTCATAATTTGCTTGATATCGATGAAAAACGTCATTTGTTATATTACTTTTTCATAGTAGAACGAAGTAAAAAAAAATATCCATAGTTTTATAATAATATTTGTTTAAAAATTATAAAAATTTGTGAAAAAATTTACGTATGCAAAATTAAAAATTTCTTTCATTTATAATTGTCGGTAATGTATTACATTTAACAGCAAATAAGGATACTTCATGCTTTATATTAGCAATTATATGTTATATCGCGTATGTAATAAATCGCTCCAAATGATTTCCAACTAAATCCGAAGAATCTCGAATGATACGACATTCTTGTTAATCTCTTGTTATTAAATCATAATTTTATCAATTTAATTCGAGGTAAGTCATTCTAAAATTGATATTAAATTTCGACAGATGAAATCACAGCCAGTTTCCGGCGATTTGGCCCACTAGTTGTCGATTGGCCTCACAAAGCCGAGAGCAAATCGTATTTCCCACCAAAAGGATACGCTTTCCTACTTTTCCAGGTATTATTTATTTTACGTGTACGCAAAAATTCACGGATCTCCGCTCACGGAATACCTATCATCCCTGTTACTACTTTCTATTTCAACCTACGATCCATAACTATCAACCACTGCACGTCCCACGCAAGCATTTCCTAAACGGAGAAAGCCCCCTTAGGCCGAGCCACGAGCTCTTCATGACGGAGGCAGTCGTGAACTTATACGAAATTCCCCCAGGACGAGAGTTCGGTGCAGCAGCTGATCGACGCCTGCATCCAGGATGAAGAAAAGCTCTATCTTTGCGTGAGCTCGCCGACGATCAAGGACAAGCCCGTCCAGATCCGGCCCTGGCGTCTCAGCGATGCCGACTTCGTCTTCGACGCCTCGATGCCCCTCGACCCGCGCAAGACCGTCTTCGTTGGTGGCGTGCCGCGGCCCCTGAAGGCCTTCGAGCTCGCCATGATCATGGATCGACTCTACGGGGGTGTCTGCTACGCAGGCATCGACACCGACCCGGAGCTCAAGTATCCCAAGGGTGCCGGCAGGGTGGCTTTCAGCAATCAGCAAAGCTACATTGCAGCAATATCGGCGAGATTCGTTCAGCTGCAACACAGCGACATCGACAAGAGGGTGAGGACAGAACATCAGCCGTTAATACATCAACTTTTTTTTGTTTGTTTTTTGTTTTGTTTCGTCTCGGCTCCCCAACGGCTATGATGTTGCCGAAGCGAGCGTCTACTATCGCGTTCCCTTGGAAAGTATTGATTTATCAAAACCATCGAGAAGCATTTGTTATTATATAGCTGAATAATTGAAAAATCAATTTCCGCAGCTGGTAATTCTTCGATGTTCTTGCTTCTCCCATAATATGATATCGATTATGGAATTCGCAAAACGTTGATTAAAACTTTTATCTGTAAGCAATTCGGGAAATCCAGTTGCCGGTATCATATCACATAAAATGATCAATTATGAAAATGCACTGCTTGCTAAGTACATAAAATTTTATAATCGATAAACTTGATTCAAACGTATATTATTTCATTCGAATACACAGTCGATAAATATCAATGCTCTTTTGAAATTATCATAAATAGCATAATAAGTCAATTAACAAATTTAAGCGATGATAAAATGCAAATCTTCTAATGTTATGGTTGAGAAATATTTTCTTAAACTATTCTTAACATTAATACGCAATGAACTAAATAATAGATGAGAATTTAAATAACAATGGTAGGGCAGAAAAGAAACAAATAAAAACGAAAAAAATAACAAATTTACAATTCAAATTTATAATGTATATTTACAATTATATATTTTATTATTTCGTATTGCATTTGGAAACATTTCATAATTTCTAAGTAATTTTCGATACCTCTGGTTCACGGTAATTTACGCTATTCATATAGTTTTATTATCCTTTATATACGAACGGTGATGTCATTTGCTCCGTGAAAAAGATTTTCACAGAGTTTTCTAACACGCGACAAGAAATTAAAAGAGAAAGAAATAAGAAATTATGTAGAAATAGATAACAATTAATTGTTATTAATTGCGTTTAATGATGTTGTATCATAAAGTTAAGTACCAAACAAATTTACATAATATTGATAATGTTTTGCAATGCATCTACAACAATTAGCACGAACGTAATTACGAAATATAGAATGCTGAGTTTACGATAAAATTTCGAGCTCCTTCACTTACCTGCTAATAAAATCTGCATGTCCCCTAATAAATTAATGCAAAATCATTTGATGTTTAGGTCGAGGTCAAGCCATACGTTCTGGATGATCAAATGTGTGATGAGTGCCAGGGTCAACGTTGTGGTGGCAAGTTCGCTCCATTTTTCTGCGCTAACGTTACTTGTCTTCAGGTACCGAAATCTTATATACTTTGTAAATTAATTTTTACGTTTGAAGGAAATTCATTTTTAATGTTTGATATGAAATGTTAATGGTCATCGAAAGTACTGTCGCTATCGAACGACTGTCTCTACTATTTATAATTTAACGAGTTATTGATTTACATTCTAGATGCGTAACGACGCTTGAAAAATTAAAAAAACACATTTTTTTATTCTTTTAATTCCTCGATGTTGATTTTCAATTGCAATTGTTTGAACGTAATAGTCTAAGCATAACGAAAGCATAAGATCTCTTAGGCCAAAAATCGTGAAATCTCCTATGAAACGAATATTGTATTTATATGCGAATGAAATATCGTATATCGAACTGCCTATGAAATAAATAAGATAAATTTTATTCCATTGTTGGAGATTAGAAAAAAATTAAATAATAATCAAAGCATTCACAATTTTTTTGGATTAAATTATACCCACTCAATTCGATTAATGGGACTAACGGGACAAAAATCATTCTACTTTCAGTACTACTGCGAGCACTGCTGGGCGACGATTCATTCGCGGCCAGGTCGAGAGTTCCATAAGCCTCTGGTGAAGGAAGGTGCAGACCGACCGCGAACCGTACCCTTTCGTTGGTGTTAACCTCAGTCCCAAGTGCTGCCCCAGCAGCAGCATCATCATCATCATCACAACAACAACCACTACCACGACCAGCAGCCGCAACAGCAACGACAACCGCAGCAACAGCAGCTTTACCACCATAACCATCGTAGCCACCATAACCACTACCATCACAATCACCACCGTCACCAGTATCAGCAGCAACGTCGTCGGCGTTCCTGAGACGTTCCCGAGGCGTTCCCGAGGCGTTCCCGAGGCGTTCCCGAGGCGTTCCCGAGACGTTCCCGAGGCGTTCCACGCGATAAGGCCGGACACAGTCTTCTAGCTAATTGAAAGGAACGATAGGGATGACATTTATCATGCAGCAGCACTTTTTCCAGCACTTGTCTCTTTCTTAGACACTTGCAGCGACGAGCGATAACCAATTGTCGAAATGAACGGGCGAAAGAGAAGGACGAAAAGGCTAATTTTATTAAGAGCCGTTGCATGATGGAGAATGATAAACTGGGACGGCTAATTGATAGGAGGATTGGATGGATAATGGAAGGCAAAAACCCCGTACTCAATTATTAATATAATATTGCTATTCTACTGATGGATAAAAGCTCCACCACTACGTCTTAAGCTACGCTATTAAGATAGATAACGAAAAAGTCTCTATTCTTATCTACTGCTCCGCTAATTATTCCTACAAATATCCCTCACGGTGTGTTTTTGTGAAGAGTACAAATGAAGAGAAGAGGATTGAGCTGCTGCTGTCGTCGTCACGATTGCCGAGCTCTCCGAGCTCTCACTTGCTTTACGAGCACAGAGAGTCTGGAAGAGAGACTCCTCATCCGGAAAACTCGAGTCGAGGTCGTTTAGAAAAATTGAGAATTATGAAGAGGATTAAAGATTATCATGCCCGGCGTTCGGTTACACTCTTT